GTTAACCGCCCGTGCTCCGCCACGGGAGTATTGACAGTAATAAAAAACAATAATAAAAAAAATATAATAATTAACAAATACTGTTTATCTTTGTATTTTATTTAGGGGCTGCTTATTTTTTTACATGAAGTAGAACGGGTTGTTGGCCTGTATAAACTATTTATGTTATTCAAACCGATATCTTATTTCAAATGCAGAGTTGTATGATCTTATATTATTCAAATAAATTTTGAAAGTTTTTATTTGTTTTTTTTATACTTAATACTTTATTTATAGTCTATGTAGCCCCGTGATAAGATTTTCTCAGAATGTTGATAAAAAGCTAATTTTACCTTCCCTTTGTGACAACATAAGGAGAATATACTTGTGTCCCTGTTAGTCTTTTCTGACATTTATTAATTCATAGATATTCAGTAGTGACAAATCCAATTTAACGACCCCAAATCAAAGGAGTCTGCGTTTTTTTATTTTAGGAACTTACAAAGCACATTTAACACCATCATTGATATTTACTTTTTAGTTCCATGGTTCTCTAAGTTTTTTTTTCGTTCTGGTTGTCTCTTTACGCACAGTTAATGACTTTTTACTTTTTTTTTTCTTTTTGTACTTTTCACACACTGGGGATTATGATAAAGTTGTATAACCCTGCAATGACCCAAATCAACTTTACTTTTAAACAATAAGTCACACACTTTTTTGCCAGAACCGAAATTGTAAGTCACAATTTCTCAAGCAACTTCCCTGTGTACTCGAATATAAAGTTAGGGTATATAAGTAGGGTATATATAGTTAGGGTGTTCACTGATATATTGTAGTTCCACATAAGTGGCGTCCCCATCTTAACGATTGATAATTGATAATTGAATAATTGAATATGTGTATTCATTAATGATAATGATTCATTAATGATAATGATTCATTACCTACGATAACACTTTTGTATGATCCCCACTCATTGGCAATTATCTGTACATCTTGCAAGTGGATTTCCCCGTGATTGTTCTGGTGGAATAAATGATATTGATCGGTATTATTTCACGTTCCATACTCAAACCTAAACTCAATTAGCACTTTCCTTCAAATCAGTTCGCAGGAAAACCAATACGTTATTTGAAAATACAAAATTTGCACCAAAGCATAGGCTACAAATAATGTTTAAATACGTTTAAAATAACACACTGTTGTATAATAAGTTAAATACACTTTTCCTAAACAGCTGACGAAAAATTTATAAACACCGTGTATTATATTCTTCAATAAGAATTGTATTGACACGACCTTTGAAGGGCTGTAGGTCTTAGCCCTTAGAAAAAACGTAAATTCTAAGGAAGTTCGGCAAGTCTACGCTTGATCATCTTTAATTTGAGACATAAATCTTGTAGATCGGTCCAGTAATGACTGAGAAAACAGACTTAAAACTGCGTATTAAATATATAGATTAAAAATATCTGATTCCCACCTTCGTACACTACAGGGTGGCCGAAAAGTCCCTTTACATTGAATATACGTTTTATAGGTATTAAGTAAAACCATTCGAATTTTCTTTAATCACAAATTTATTGACAATTACTTAATAGTGAACAAGCAAATTAGTCCAAAACGCCGGTGTGCATACCTCCGTGGTCTCGGCACAGCTTGATTCGACGACATGTTCTTTTGCTCATTCGTCGCAGCATCTCAGGTGAGACTCGTCCAAACGCAGCCCTTACTCCTTCTCTTAGCTCGTCATTTGTGACATACCGCTGTTTCCTCACCTCTTCCTTGATAAAACCCCACAGTGCGTTGTCAGCTGTCGTGTATTTGTATGTCTTTTATAGTTGTAAATAAGCGTGTCTGTACTATGTACATGTATTACGGTCCTATAGGCATTATCATCAAGAGGGTTATGCTTTTCATTTTCACAAAAAATGCCCACTATAATTTGAATAAACAACCTGTATAACATCACTTCCGTATTCAGTGATATTTTCAAAATTTTTGACCTTCATTTTATATCTGAACACTCAAGACTTGTTGTCACTTATAAGTTGTTGGATTAGTCTATGCCTAAGTGTTTATTTGTGTGCCGAAAACTGTATTGGTCGTCCATAGCTACGTTAGTGTTTTGGTATGCACTTATTTGTTCATGACCCTTTCCTTCCTGAAACGCCTTAGAATCCTGGTCGGTTTGTATCTCTTCAGTGGATGACATTTTATGTTCAGTTCCATTGGTTTGACACGTATGTCCTCTCTGAAGCGAATCGATAAATCAATACCATCGTCGTTGAATTTATCCATCATCTTGGCTGCTTCTGCTTTTGCTTGTCTGAAAACGTCTAGTGATAGAATATTAAATAAATTTCTTGAAAGAACTGTTTTAGAGTCTGCCTTGATATAATATGTATTATTCTTTCTTCAATGCACTAGAGCCGTTTTCTTTTTGAGTACTTGTTTATCAACGTTTCTTTCTAAACCACTGAGCCATGATGACAACATCCATTTGTTTCCGTTATCCATTGGCAGAAATGCTCAATTTAGTGCCAACAATTGTTGGTGTCAAATCAAACCTTAATTGTCCTGTAAAAAATAAGGTGAAACAAATAAATTTGACTAAGACAAATTACAAAAGTTTACGTACTGTCCTAAAGAACAACATGGGAATTTTAAATTAAAATTTTATTATTTTTTATATATTTATAAACAAGTAAAATGAGTTGACTTATTCTCTCTAAAAATAGCATGTAAATTTCAAATTATTTTTCCCCTATTTTATTTATACACAATAACTTTGCAAAAACACTTTAATATACTAAAGTATTTGTGTTTTTTAGATCTTAAATATAATTTAGAAAGAAATTGCGAAATTAAATTTTTTTCATGGTCAACAAGGGGAAAACATATTTTTAACCCATAAACCCTCCTTAAAAAGCCCGGTCATGCTAGTTCGTGAACTCATAAAAAATGTAGGTTTACACGTTTGTAAAATCTTTTCATAAAATCTCTTGCTAAATAACACTTATTTCCAAAATGTAAATCTCCATCTCAGTAAGCTCCCTCAAAATTCCTTTTTAGTAAAAAGTAACAAAAATGTAAAAATTAAATTATCTTTCAATTAGAGAAAATACTGTTTTACAAGTTAAAAGTTGACTCACACACAAAAAGTTGTAAAGTTGTAAAAAGTTGTAAGTAAAGTTGTATCACATCACATTACAAGTAATGTTGGTATAACATTACCATCTGATGTTGCTTTGAACAGCTAAAATTGTGTTTGTTTTATTCGTGCAACAATCGAAATATTTGGTTTTACACAAAACCAAAGATTACAAAAGAGTACAATCCTTTTTTTCAGGTATTTCTCAAATATAAAGAAAGGAATATTAAATTAAGAGTCCTTCGTCTAAACGAGCCTAGAAACACAAGTTATTTAATCCGTACCGTCAGATGGGGTTACTTTGTTAAAAAAATTTAGTTTTTTGTTAATAACTTCAAAACCGTACAACCGTACATACAAAAATTTTAATTCTTACACCATTGTATGTGGACAGACATTATCTACAACTTGTGCATGCTAAAAAAAAAATTAGATATTATAGTTAAAAAATAAAATAAACAAATTGTGACTGTTCAAAGTAGCCTCGTGGATGGGGCTTCTATGAACACAAACTTTGACCTCCTTTATCTCTGGTACTTTTTAACGTAGGGGCTACATTGATACTACCAAATAAAAGGTGGGGTTTCAATGAACATTTTCATAAAAGAGTTATTAAAAAATATTAAAAATTAAAATTTTTATAGAGTAAAAACTGAAAGAACTCACCAAAAAATTGTGTACTCATATTTACTCCATCTTCATAAAATTATTTATTAGGTGTTCCTGAGGCCTGTCATTGTCTTTTTACTTGTTCTTAACTAAATTATGAATGAAATTCTGACTGGAAAATTTTTTTACTATATTCCTACAATTGTCACAATTGTCATGATAACAGCGTAAAAACGCACGAAAAAAGAGCGTCTGAAATTAAATAAAAACTTAAAAACCACTTATATACATACATTATTTACAGTTTTTTTTTTCATTTTCTGTCTTTTATATTATATTGTACTTGGTGAGGTCAGCCTTGAATGTGAATACACCTGATCCTCGTGAGGAAATCATTGAGGGTTCGGGGAGAACCTCTACAATATTATTGTACGGTACGTTGTCAAAATCTTCTTTAGGGGAACAGATGAACTTATTAGTACCGGTAGTACCCTGGTTCCTTAGGAATTTAACCTGGGCTCCCTTGTCATATGAATCTATGATCTGTCCAATAAAATAGTGGTAGATTTCTTTTTTTATACATATTTTATCACTACTTATGAGCCTGATGGTGGTGGATCTAAACTTTTCTCTGTACCGGTACCATCATCTGCATATGCACTCTTTAAGTTTTCAGCACTAGTTCCAGGGATGGGCTCTAGCTCTTGGATGCCTAAGTCTTTATCAGGAACTGAAGACCCAAAACTGGCATTCATTACAGAATCGTCGTCATACTCAACGCTTGACAATTCTTCTGATGACGAATTATCCCAACTTATACGTTTTTTTCCTTTGTTACATGCGTTTGTATTCTTTGTTTCTTCTGTTTATTTGAGTTTCTTTTCTTGCTAAGTTTGGGAAAGACTTGGGGAACATCAGGGTTATCTGAGTTTTCTATTTCATCTAAACTTATGCTCTTCTCTGGGGTTACATTTTTTTTGCTTCTCTCCTTCTTTCCTTGGGGCTGCTCGGTACCGGTACCAGTAAATCCTTGGGGAACACTAGGATCATCTGGGGTTTCTAGGTTATACGATAAAAATCAAATATTTATTTTAAAGATATATCACAAATACTGAAAAGACAAACTATATACATTTTAATATGCAGTGGTTTGTTTAGAAAACTTAAGATACAATATTAACGTTAATTGAGTAGCTAGAAACATGGGTATCAGACAAATCATGGTTTCATCCTATTTTATTAAAGTCTTATGCTCATGAGCTTAAGTGTTTACACCATCAAACAACAGGTGCCTTTTATCAGAAACAGTTTTTGGGATTGATAACTCAGATGTAGCAACAGGAGCTATGCCCATTACAACAAATCCGAATATAGTTCCTAAAACTTGGGGCAGGTTATGGCCTAAGAAGTGCTGCTCACCAGTCAGTGAGAGAGCGAATAAATCAGCTCCGATCAATAGATCAATTTCTCCAGGTTTGTCAAAACAGGGGTCTGCAAGAACAAAATCATTTAAAGATCCCTTCACTTGAGGTGAGACGGGGATCTGAGGCAGTGGTGAAGTGATACGATTCAAAACCAAGCATGGATGATGGTAGGCTAAGCGTTGACCATTAACTGCAGATATATCAATGTGCACTACTCCTCTAGAATGAATTAGTGAGCCAGAAATTCCTTGGATTTCATCATGTGCTCGAGTACGGGAGGCACTGATGAGCTGAACAGCTCTTTCAGATATCAATGTAAGTTGAGATGCAGAGTCGAGCACAGCACGGAGTACAGTTTGCTGACCATCTTTGGAAAACACCTGAACTAAACATGTTCCAAGTAAAATTGTTGTTTTAGTTGGGTTTAACTGGCTAGACAATCCTACAAGAGCACTTTTATTTTTCACTGGTGCGGTGACATGGCTTTGGGGTGCGTTATTTGTAGGCGGCTTACCATATTTTTTTTCAAAAACCTTGGTTGGGTAACTTGGCTGCTGTTGTGTGGGAGTTGAGTCATGTAAGAGAGTGTGATGTCGCTTTGAACAAATTCGACACACTCTATGAGAAGGACAGTTATTAGTATCATGTAGATGGCCTAGGCAGTTGGCGCATAGATTATTTTTACAAGTGAATTCAACTCTATCACCTCTACTTTTAGCCTGAAAGGCTTGACACTTGTATATATTGTGATCGGATGCTTGACAAAACTTACAAGTGTTAGTCACTGTGACGAAAGCTGTTTTAGCTTGAGAGGAGTAAGGTTTACTATCTCGAAGAGGTTTAGGCCTATAACTATTAGATTGAGTCTTTTGCACTGAAGGGTATCTTGCGTTAGCTGAGGGACCAAGACCGATACTAGCTCCTTCTAATCGTTTAAATTCTCTTTCAAGGAATTGAATTAGATCATTTACTGCAGGTATGTCATTGTTTGTGATGCGAGAATCCTCAAAAGATTTTCTTAAATCAGTAGGTAACTTTTTCAAAAGCGTTAGGACAAGCAGAGTATTTTCAGCTGTTATGTCATGGTTGAGATTTTTCAAAACTTGAGTGTTCTCTTTATAAACTGTGAGAAAATGTTGGAGACTTTTGAGAGAACCACTACTTATGCATGGCAAATCAATGATTTTTGTAACAAGCTGAGTTACAACACGCCTTTTGTTATCATAGCGATCCTTAAGCAGCCTAAGTGCAACATCAAAGTTTTCTGCAGTTATGCTTAAGCTCTTTACTAAATCTAAGGGTTCACCACTTAAAGAACTAAGCAGATATTGGAACTTACTCACAGGGGCCAAAGTTTCATTCCTATTAATAGAAGCCTCAAAAATATTGTAGTAGCTAACCCATTCTTCGTAGTTACCGCTGAATTTGGGCAACTCAAATTTGGGCAGTCGCAGAGATGGTTGGGTGGGAGGTGTTACTTCTTTAGTTTTAGCAGGTAACACTATTTTCAAGTCACTGATCAGAGAAATGTACAAGTCCGAAATTTCATCTTGCATAGAGCATGCTTCAGTTTCGTCATAATCAGAACCAGGATCATCATAAACTACTTTATCGAATAAAGCTTTAAAATCAGAGAATAAACCTCTAACTTCATCATCATAGTTGTGTAAGCGCTGAATGGAAACAACATTTAATGATTAAGTTTCTGAGAGAGTAATTTGGGCTGACACAAACTTGCCTATTTTTTGAAGCCTATTTTTGACAAGTTTTGCCTTTTTCTCCAGTGTAGAGAATCTCATTTTAACAGACCATTTATGTAATCAAAAGAGTAAGCTATAGGCCTAAGTTTATCATAAGTTTAGGCCTACGTAAATATTCACCAACACCTAAATATCAAAATAACTCCAAGTCTTAGACCTAACAATAATGCAAATTAATAGCTCAGAATAAATCAATTCATTTACATTCACTCTATAAGAAATAATGAATGTAAAATTATATTTCACTTTACCATCAGACCCAGGATAGACATAGTAAATAAAAGTAAAGTCTATTTAACACAAGTCATTTAATTTGAATCAGTATTTTCGCAGAATATTGAGTAGGGAAGTATTTATTATGAGCAATATCCTTAATGTAGACAAGAATCGATTCAACCACTAATATTTCGTTTAATATTCACACAAAACAATATTTTCCAAGATGTAAATAAACTTGAAGGTTACGTTTATATTTTGATTCAATTCACACAGCTGTATGTAGCTGGAGTGTGTTTTATATTCAGTCAGCTGATTTCCTGTGCTTGAAACTGAGTTTTACATATGATCAATTTGAAGAAGCAATATCATTGGGCGATTTATTCTGTTTTACGAATCTCGACGCTCATTGGTTCTTGCGACGTGCAGACTGTAGGCAGAGCGCTCTAGTGGAGAAGTTCGCTACCAAGGTGCATCGCAAGGACAGAAAATATAAAATGGCTGACTTTCTGATAAGTGAAAATATGTTAGAAAATTAATAGGCCATAGTGTGGATGCAATACATCATAAGAAAACTGTACATTAATTCTTTACTTAAATCTAAAATGCACATTCCTAAATAAATGGGTTTTCTATAACAATATTGGTTTTTCCTAAGGTAACACCTGCTAAGATTTCAGAAAAATAGTTCTGTATTTAAAGTTAGGTTTGTTTATGAGTTTTTCCAACCTCACGGCATCATTTACTAGGTGAAAGTCCAACCTTTTCCTATGATTTTCCATGAATTTTCCGAATACACTGTTGTTGAACAGCTTAAATAGATCCTTGTCAAATCATTAGTGATTTTTTTGCGTAGGTCAGTGTTAAGGTCGATGTAGGACTTAAGCCATGGTGATTGTTGAAATGTTACAACCCTGTGAATTTTTTTTAACTTTAAGCCCATGTTTAATTGCCTGTTTCAAAACTCTGTAGTGGACAATATAATGATTTTTGTCATCTAAGGTTGTCAATAACTTCGGACAGTGATCATTAGGTGGTGTCTTTCGCTCGCAGAGAAAAGAGAGGTCATTATGTGACGTATGGAGAGACTCTGGATATTCTACATCTACTTCTAGAACGTAGCCAAATTTTGACTCATTGGAAACTTTGTTGAGGTCGAGTTTTTCTATCTCACTTTTTTCCAACCATTGAAATCCACCAGTAGGAAGATATTGCGACATAGCATATCCGTAAAGGTTATTCGGATCCAAATAGGTAATATATTTACTTGGTTGTGACTTGTCATGCTTTGGGCAGTCTTTGTTATTTGCCTTGGAAAATCTCTTACAACATTGGCTAATTCCCCCACGAATCCCCTTTTAAAAGAACAAATACATCTCCGAGTCTTTGATTGTTTCAAGTTTAACATTTGTTTTCTTTAATTTGCAGTCCCACGCATATGATGGAAGAGTGACATAGTACGCAGGATCTAGTTTATGTGTTCGTAAACAAGTGTCTCTAGAGTTTTCAAACACGTCGGTTAACAGCAAGACATCGGTTAAAAGGTATAAATCTGAATATTGTCCAAGGTTTTGAATTTTAAAGGTGTCCCAAACGTTTTGAGCATGCTGGTAGTCTATATCCGTTACGTGCTCAAGTGAAAGTTTGTTGTAAAATGCGTCTTTGGAGGGTAGTTGAGTCTCGTTAAGCCGATAATTGGAGGTGATGTAGGAGTAGGGGAAATCCCTTTCCGAGTTATTAAGTTAAATTTCTCCTGTTCAGGAAATTCTTTAAGTGTTTCCCTAAAAGACTATTTGGGGAGGATTGAAGCAAGGTTGGACAAGCTTGAAGGCAAAAATCTTAAAAAATCAACAAACCGAATTTTTTAAGTTCCTCTTCGAGCCTTTTTAAAAGGGATGTTTTTGGTAAAGGAAATGTATTTTTTTCAGTTGATGCAATTAGGGATATATTACTCTTATCCAAGGCCAATTCGTTGATGAAGAAATGAGAATCATCTGGTAGGTTATGGAAAAAACAAGTAAACATGTGTTGCTCAGCAAAGCTGATATTACACTGCGAGTGAGCTGCCACTCTAAAAGTGAAAGGAAAGGAATGCATGTGTTCTCTAACTTTCACATCACTACTATAGTTCGGCCGCTTAGAAAACGACCTGCGCGCTAATGCTTAACCAATGCTGGAGGAGGTCGCTTTCTAAGCGGCCGAACTATAGCAAATGGCTTATTACAAATATGACAGGTTACGCTGCATTGAAAGCAGTTTCTTCAGCTGCACTAAGTTTAGGTAAAGTTTGTCGATTGTTATAGAGTTTACTACCAATGTAGAGAATATCAGCTTTTGGTGAATCTACAAAATGATTACCTACATTTGCACCTCTATACCTACGAATTATGTTTTTTTTCAGTCATGTTGGGGGGTAAACTTGCCTAAAAATGTTCAAATGGACTGTATGTTGAAAGAGCAATATTAAAAACTTGTCACCAATTATTTAACAGATATAATGAGATTGATGAGGTACCTTCCTTTTAACTGAAGTGTTGAGAAGACGAAGCCGGTAGACGTACACGAGTTTCTTCTGCTGGCCAGCTATTGCGTATTGCTCGTACACAGACCCGGACCGGCAGTAGTAGTGTTTCACTTCACAAATGTTCAATAGTTCACTTTTAATATGTGTCACTAATAATAATTAAATACACTTTGGGGTTAAGAGATGAGAGCAGCAATTGGAAGTTAATTGTGCCGGGGACATGTTAGTAGTTGCATGAATGCAAGAGAACTGGGGCGAGATTGGGGTTTCCAGACATCACGTGACAGGACAAAGGTTATTGTATGATATGAAACGTCTGGAAATATCTAGGTAGCGCTTGAATACAGAACACATGTTATCCTTGATGAGTTAAGATAGCAATACGAAAAAGGGGAGTGTTCATGGGTCAAACTTCCTTCATTCGGTTTAAGTAAACTTTCAAAATCCCCATAGATTACAAATCTAACACGCTGGCTCCTCTCAGTGTTCTTAAATGCAATATGACTTTCGGAAGACAAGTCGAGTCTTAACAGCTCTTTATACACACAAACCCGTCTATGCTCACTGAGCCTCTCCTCTCCGAATTTCCCAATTTTATTTGGCCGATCGTTGAAGAAAGTGAAACATTATTTTGCAAATGTGGGTTTTATGATCATGTTTAGTTAACTGTTTATTCACTAGCTTTGAAAAATCCCTAATATATACATAATGACTATCTTTAGTATTATCTTTATGAGTACCAGTAATTAAGAGCAGGTCTCTGTGGTCTTCTAATTCTCTTTCTACAATTTTAATCGGATACACCTTTTTATCCATGTCCATGTCTCCTCTACATCGAGAACCTCAAATTTATTCCTACATACAACATTTGGGGCACCCAAGCAAACTCGCCTTTGTTTGTGCTTTCTAGGTTTGATTTTAGTCCAAGCAGTTTTTTCTTGTATTTGCGTTGTGTCACATTTTCTGCTTGTTCGTGATACATGATTCACTGACTCTATTATCAATTCAGAAGGAACAGTAAGATCGTGACGAGTGTGCTTGCGTAAACCCCACCATTCTTCAAAACAGATCTCATTCGACTTAAAAAATTGCAGAACATGATTTGCATTTACTAATACATTGAGTCCACATTCAAAAGAATGTTTTTGATGAAAACAAACCATTTCTAAGACCCTCTCTGTAATATATACAATTATTACGCCCATAGACCTTAAAATCTCATCTTCGAGCCAATCTTGCTGTACTCGATGCATTTTTCCTAATCACTTTTCTTAAAACCCGCTCTTTTTAGCGAATTTCCCTATAGGGAAGTAGCTATTACCGTAGGTGGCACGGTAAGACCTAGACCCGGGACCGATTTACTTTTTCATTTTGATGTCCCCAGAGGCCAAAAACACCATTCGTTCAAATTTTTATATATGTATATATATATATATATATAGATTTATATATATATATATATATACGTCCGTGAACGCGATAACTTGAGTAATTTTGGTCCGATTTTGATGAAATTTGGTTTAAAGGTGTAAAGCGAGATAAAATTGAATGAGTTCGCGAACCAGCATGATCGGACCATAGGAACGGGGCTTTAGGGGGGGTTTTATGGGGTAAAAATTGGTTTTTCTCACTTTTGACCCTCAAAACACAAAATTTCCCAATTTCTCTTTAGACCTTTTTAAAGAGCTTAAAAAAACAAATAATTTAGTATATAAAAGTATTTTTGTTCAATTATTAGTAACGGAGAAAATTAAAAAAAATGTAAATTTAAAATTCCCATGTTATTCTTATGGAGAATATTGTCAAATGTTGTAATTTGCTTGTTTATGGATATATTTTGATCAAACTTGGCAAATTTATTTATTTTGTACTAAGCTATCAATATTTTACTCAAAAACACACTTTATTAGGTTCCTTGTAGCAGCAAACCTAGGTACTCGTTAAACCTAATGTTATTAAAATATATTTAACTGAAAATAATTCAGACAAATGGAAATTCGCTTAGTCGGCAGGTTTGCTGCGGCGGGGGTATTTATTTACCTGTCGTAGTTCTGATGGTAGCAGTCGACTAGTGCGCTCCAGAGCCTCGTCCTCCTGAATCGCGCGAAAGACCGTCCAGAATGATGGGTTTGTACATCCCACAAGGTGCTGGAATCTGTTGTTCCAAGACTCGCAGAAATTATTTGTTTTCAGTAGGTCCTGGAGAACAATGTAATTCATGTTTCACACATGAGGAGGAAAGGGAGCTGAACTGTTGGTGCCGACCTGTCCCCCGACGTGCGTCTGCTACAAGTATAGCAGTATGTCTGCCAGCTCTACTGGAGCAGACGCCCAAAGGAAGAGCATTCCAGCTGGTACATCTGCCACCGGCAGGAAGGCCAGAGCATACAGCATACCGCAGTGGAGCTTGATGTCAGGACGACTCTTGTAGAGTTTCACTATCCCGTTCCCCTGGATGTGTCGCCAAATGCTCTGGCATAAGTGAAAAAACACCCCTTCAGTTATAAACTACCAAAAACATTATTCACCGCGTTCATTGCCCCTTTCTCAAAGTCCATCATAACTATTTCTGGACGTGATGCATAATCCCGCTGAGTAATTTGATTCAGCACAACTGCCAAACCCCCTACTGTAGTTCGTGATCGTGGTACAAGCAAGGGCTGTATTTGTTTATTACAAGACCACACTGTAGTAAGGGAATCTATGCTCCCTACAATCACAAAAGCTAAGGACCAATCACTGTTTTGGGCTGAAATTTTTCATTATGATAGTTCACATTCCCCATTAACGTATAGATATATACTTATCTCAAAGCTCCTTTCGTGCTCCACCTTTGTAGTTTCCCATGTTAACCTTACTGCATCAGTATTCATATTTAAATTAAATTAAAGACTTTGTCAGCTTTTAAACTTAAAAAGTTTGTTCGATAATAATATGATAAGTACATACCTTTTTATTCCGCCTCCAGTCCTAATATAGTCAAAGGGTGACTAGTTTCGGCTCAGAAATGACCCATTTTCAAACCCATGTCATCAAATTGATTGGTCCAAAAATCCGACAGTCAAAAAAAATCCCCGCTGAGTCTTGATGGTGACAACTCGGACGATGCCGTCCGATCCAGGCGAAGTCTTCACTATGCGTCCAAGAGGCCAAAGTAGTGGTGGTGTTCTAGGGTCCTGAATTATAACGAGATCACCCACTTCTAGATTCTTGTTGGGCTTTTCCCATTTCTTTCTTTGTTGTAGCTGATGTAAATATTCTTGATGCCAACGTCGCCAGAAGCGTTGATGTAGGGCTTGTACAGTTTGCCAATGGTTGAGACGATTTTCGGGAACTTCTTCAAGATTTGGTTCCGGTACTGCCACAAGAGAAGTGCCGATAAGAAAATGACCCGGAGTAAGGGCTGAGATGTCAGATGGATCTGCGGATAACGCTGTTAAGGGTCTCGAGTTTAGTACAGCCTCCACCTGTGTGGCGAGTGTTATTATTTCCATTAGTGTTAGAACTCTATCACCTATGACTCTTTTCAGATGATATTTAGAGCTTTTTATAGCACTCTCCCATAGGCCTCCTTGGTGGGGAGCGGCTGGTGGTTGAAAGTGAAAATTTATTGAGTGATCTAATGCGAAGTTGTTAAGAGCATCTTTAGTGTTTGATTCCTTGATGAAATTCTGAAAAGTTTTCATGAGTTGCTTTGAGGCTCCAACATAGTTAGTTCCGCAATCTGAGTATAAGTGGGCACACAATCCACGACGAGAAACAAAACGTTTTAGTGCAGCTATGAAGGAGTCTACAGATAGGTCTGTTACAATTTCTAGGTGCACAGCTTTCGTAGCAAAACATACAAAGAGGCAGAGGTATGATTTTAACCGTTGAGTGTTCCTAGTTGAATGAACTTTAATGTCAAAATGTCCACTATAGTCCATGCCAGTGTGATAGAATGGCCTTACAGGTTTTAATCGAGTTTCAGGAAGATCTCCCATCAGTGGAGGTTTGTTTACAGGCTTAAGTCTGAAACATCTTTGACACTTGAAAATCACAGATCTTATCACGCTGCGGGCTGATAATATCCAAACCTCTTGAGACAGAATAGACTGCAGCAATTGAGGGCCTGCGTGTAGATGCTTTAGGTGATAATGCATAATCAACAGTTTGACAGCACAGTGAGATTTAGGTAACAAAACTGGATGTTTCGCATCTTGTGTAAGGTTGGAATGTTTCAACCTGCCCCCTACTCGCACTATTCCACTGTCATCAATATATGGGGATAAACGAGCAAGTTTTAAGCTGCATTGAGATCCCTTTTTGAGAGCAGAGATGTCATCCTTAAATGATGTATTTTGTATGAGTTTGAAAATTCTTAATTTCGCTGAAGAAGTTTCTTGGCAAGTAAGTCGTCCAATGCGGTGATCATTGGCTTGCAGATTATGAATGAATCGCAATATATATGCCATGACATTTACAAGTTTCCTGAAACATGAATATTTTTCTAGTATATCAAAATCAGTGAGTTTAATCTTCTCTGTGGTTGCTAGAACGTTTAGAGGATTTGGCCTTATTTCAAGAGTGTCATCATCAATAACAGGTGTGAATTTTGGCTTAGGCCAAGAATCTGGCGATGACTGTAACCATTCCGGTCCATTCCACCATAAATGATGAGTCACAAGTTGAGAGGGTGAAAGACCACGAGTGGCGCAATCTGCCGGGTTGTCTTGAGATTTGACATAATTCCATGAGTGAGGAGAGACCAATTCTTGGAGTTCTGAAATACGATTGGCAATGAAGACTTTCAAGCGGTATGGAAGAGTGCGTATCCAGGTTAGGACAATTGTGGAGTCACACCAAGCATATATTGATTCAATCTTCATATGAGCAGAGAGTATGTTTGAAGAATATTGAAGAAGTTTTCCCAGTAAGTGAGTGCCACAAAGTTCAAGCCGTGGCAGAGAAATTCTTTTCAAAGGAGCGACTTTTGATTTAGAGACGATGAGATAGAGCCTTGTATTCTCTTGAGAGTCAGTGACACGAAGGTAGACAACAGCAGCGTAGCCTTTCTCTGAAGCATCGCTGAAGCCGTGGAGTTGCACAGCCGTATGCAGAGAAGTAGAAATGTAGCGTGGAATTCTTAGTTCTTGAATTATTGGGAGTTCTTCTAAGAATGAATGCCACTTGGTTCTAACATCATTTGGAACAGGTTCATCCCAAGTTAGCCCTGTTGTCCAGAGATACTGAATAAGTGTTTTTGCCCAGAAAATTACGGGTGTAAGAAACCCTGGTAAATCGTACAGTTTAGCGATTGTAGATAATATTCTTCTCTTTGTAAGTATAGCACTTATTTCAACATCCTTAACCTTGTAAGAAAGCATGTCGGACTCTGGAGTCCATTTTAGACCTAGGACACTGAAGAAGGCTTCACTATTTTCAGTTAACTCCACTGGAGTCTCTTTGTGTTCAATTGGGACTTGGTCCAATAGTTGGGGTGCGTTGCTAATCCATTTTCGGAGTTCAAAACCTCCTCTAGAGAGCAAGTTCTTGAGTTCATTCTGTGCAGACAAAGCTTCATCAAGACTTTCTGCTCCAGCGATGATGTCGTCATAAAATATTGATTTAGTTAGAATCTCAGACGCCTTGGGGTATGAGTGACCCTCATCTTTGACCAATTGTTGTAATGTTCTGATCGCAATGAAGGGGGAACAGTTGAGACCGTAGGTGACGGTATTTAGCTTTAAGACTTGAAGGGATTCATCAGGGTTGGATCGCCAAAAGATTAACTGATATTTCTTGTCATCTTCAGCCACCAGAATCTGGCGATACATCTGTCGTATATCACAAGTGAACACAAACTTGTGACACCTAAAGTACAGCAAGACATCACTAATATCATTCTGCAACTTAGGGCCAGGCATGAGGATATCGTTTAGGGAGACGCCATTGTTTGTTTTGGAACTACCATCAAATACGACTCGTATTTTGGAATTAGGGGGATTCTCCTTAAATACTCCATGGTGGGGTAAATAGTAACATTCACCAGAAAGGGGTTGCTCACATGCACTCATGTGACCTGATTTGATGTAGTCATCCATAAATTCGGAGTATAAATCTTTGAATTCGGGCTGAGCAGCAAATTTTCTTTCCATCGCTTTAAGTCTAAGTTGAGCTGTACTACAAGATTCACCTAATAGTGGATGATTTGGTCTTTTCGGTAACTTAACAACATATCGACCAGAGTTATCACTAAGCAGAGAACATCTTCTTCTGACTGAGTCTTGACACATGTCGGGGGTTCTTCGATTGACCAAAACCTTTGAATTGAACTGTGAAGGTCTCCATCATGTGTAGTGAGAAAAGAAACAGTTTTTGGGATTGATAACTCAGATGTAGCAACAGGAGCTATGCCCATTACAACAAATCCGAATATAGTTCCTAAAACTTGGGGCAGGTTATGGCCTAAGAAGTGCTGCTCACCAGTCAGTGAGAGAGCGAATAAATCAGCTCCGATCAATAGATCAATTTCTCCAGGTTTGTCAAAACAGGGGTCTGCAAGAACAAAATCATTTAAAGATCCCTTCACTTGAGGTGAGACGGGGATCTGAGGCAGTGGTGAAGTGATACGATTCAAAACCAAGCATGGATGATGGTAGGCTAAGCGTTGACCATTAACTGCAGATATATCAATGTGCACTACTCCTCTAGAATGAATTAGTGAGCCAGAAATTCCTTGGATTTCATCATGTGCTCGAGTACGGGAGGCACTGATGAGCTGAACAGCTCTTTCAGATATCAATGTAAGTTGAGATGCAGAGTCGAGCACAGCACGGAGTACAGTTTGCTGACCATCTTTGGAAAACACCTGAACTAAACATGTTCCAAGTAAAATTGTTGTTTTAGTTGGGTTTAACTGGCTAGACAATCCTACAAGAGCACTTTTATTTTTCACTGGTGCGGTGACATGGCTTTGGGGTGCGTTATTTGTAGGCGGCTTACCATATTTTTTTTCAAAAACCTTGGTTGGGTAACTTGGCTGCTGTTGTGTGGGAGTTGAGTCATGTAAGAGAGTGTGATGTCGCTTTGAACAAATTCGACACACTCTATGAGAAGGACAGTTATTAGTATCATGTAGATGGCCTAGGCAGTTGGCGCATAGATTATTTTTACAAGTGAATTCAACTCTATCACCTCTACTTTTAGCCTGAAAGGCTTGACACTTGTATATATTGTGATCGGATGCTTGACAAAACTTACAAGTGTTAGTCACTGTGACGAAAGCTGTTTTAGCTTGAGAGGAGTAAGGTTTACTATCTCGAAGAGGTTTAGGCCTATAACTATTAGATTGAGTCTTTTGCACTGAAGGGTATCTTGCGTTAGCTGAGGGACCAAGACCGATACTAGCTCCTTCTAATCGTTTAAATTCTCTTTCAAGGAATTGAATTAGATCATTTACTGCAGGTATGTCATTGTTTGTGATGCGAGAATCCTCAAAAGATTTTCTTAAATCAGTAGGTAACTTTTTCAAAAGCGTTAGGACAAGCAGAGTATTTTCAGCTGTTATGTCATGGTTGAGATTTTTCAAAACTTGAGTGTTCTCTTTATAAACTGTGAGAAAATGTTGGAGACTTTTGAGAGAACCACTACTTATGCATGGCAAATCAATGATTTTTGTAACAAGCTGAGTTACAACACGCCTTTTGTTATCATAGCGATCCTTAAGCAGCCTAAGTGCAACATCAAAGTTTTCTGCAGTTATGCTTAAGCTCTTTACTAAATCTAAGGGTTCACCACTTAAAGAACTAAGCAGATATTGGAACTTACTCACAGGGGCCAAAGTTTCATTCCTATTAATAGAAGCCTCAAAAATATTGTAGTAGCTAACCCATTCTTCGTAGTTACCGCTGAATTTGGGCAACTCAAATTTGGGCAGTCGCAGAGATGGTTGGGTGGGAGGTGTTACTTCTTTAGTTTTAGCAGGTAACACTATTTTCAAGTCACTGATCAGAGAAATGTACAAGTCCGAAATTTCATCTTGCATAGAGCATGCTTCAGTTTCGTCATAATCAGAACCAGGATCATCATAAACTACTTTATCGAATAAAGCTTTAAAATCAGAGAATAAACCTCTAACTTCATCATCATAGTTGTGTAAGCGCTGAATGGAAACAACATTTAATGATTAAGTTTCTGAGAGAGTAATTTGGGCTGACACAAACTTGCCTATTTTTTGAAGCCTATTTTTGACAAGTTTTGCCTTTTTCTCCAGTGTAGAGAATCTCATTTTAACAGACCATTTATGTAATCAAAAGAGTAAGCTATAGGCCTAAGTTTATCATAAGTTTAGGCCTACGTAAATATTCACCAACACCTAAATATCAAAATAACTCCAAGTCTTAGACCTAACAATAATGCAAATTAATAGCTCAGAATAAATCAATTCATTTACATTCACTCTATAAGAAATAATGAATGTAAAATTATATTTCACTTTACCATCAGACCCAGGATAGACATAGTAAATAAAAGTAAAGTCTATTTAACACAAGTCATTTAATTTGAATCAGTATTTTCGCAGAATATTGAGTAGGGAAGTATTTATTATGAGCAATATCCTTAATGTAGACAAGAATCGATTCAACCACTAATATTTCGTTTAATATTCACACAAAACAATATTTTCCAAGATGTAAATAAACTTGAAGGTTACGTTTATATTTTGATTCAATTCACACAGCTGTATGTAGCTGGAGTGTGTTTTATATTCAGTCAGCTGATTTCCTGTGCTTGAAACTGAGTTTTACATATGATCAATTTGAAGAAGCAATATCATTGGGCGATTTATTCTGTTTTACGAATCTCGACGCTCATTGGTTCTTGCGACGTGCAGACTGTAGGCAGAGCGCTCTAGTGGAGAAGTTCGCTACCAAGGTGCATCGCAAGGACAGAAAATATAAAATGGCTGACTTTCTGATAAGTGAAAATATGTTAGAAAATTAATAGGCCATAGTGTGGATGCAATACATCATAAGAAAACTGTACATTAATTCTTTACTTAAATCTAAAATGCACATTCCTAAATAAATGGGTTTTCTATAACAATATTGGTTTTTCCTAAGGTAACACCTGCTAAGATTTCAGAAAAATAGTTCTGTATTTAAAGTTAGGTTTGTTTATGAGTTTTTCCAACCTCACGGCATCATTTACTAGGTGAAAGTCCAACCTTTTCCTATGATTTTCCATGAATTTTCCGAATACACTGTTGTTGAACAGCTTAAATAGATCCTTGTCAAATCATTAGTGATTTTTTTGCGTAGGTCAGTGTTAAGGTCGATGTAGGACTTAAGCCATGGTGATTGTTGAAATGTTACAACCCTGTGAATTTTTTTTAACTTTAAGCCCATGTTTAATTGCCTGTTTCAAAACTCTGTAGTGGACAATATAATGATTTTTGTCATCTAAGGTTGTCAATAACTTCGGACAGTGATCATTAGGTGGTGTCTTTCGCTCGCAGAGAAAAGAGAGGTCATTATGTGACGTATGGAGAGACTCTGGATATTCTACATCTACTTCTAGAACGTAGCCAAATTTTGACTCATTGGAAACTTTGTTGAGGTCGAGTTTTTCTATCTCACTTTTTTCCAACCATTGAAATCCACCAGTAGGAAGATATTGCGACATAGCATATCCGTAAAGGTTATTCGGATCCAAATAGGTAATATATTTACTTGGTTGTGACTTGTCATGCTTTGGGCAGTCTTTGCTTTGGGCAGTCTTTGTTATTTGCCTTGGAAAATCTCTTACAACATTGGCTAATTCCCCCACGAATCCCCTTTTAAAAGAACAAATACATCTCCGAGTCTTTGATTGTTTCAAGTTTAACATTTGTTTTCTTTAATTTGCAGTCCCACGCATATGATGGAAGAGTGACATAGTACGCAGGATCTAGTTTATGTGTTCGTAAACAAGTGTCTCTAGAGTTTTCAAACACGTCGGTTAACAGCAAGACATCGGTTAAAAGGTATAAATCTGAATATTGTCCAAGGTTTTGAATTTTAAAGGTGTCCCAAACGTTTTGAGCATGCTGGTAGTCTATATCCGTTACGTGCTCAAGTGAAAGTTTGTTGTAAAATGCGTCTTTGGAGGGTAGTTGAGTCTCGTTAAGCCGATAATTGGAGGTGATGTAGGAGTAGGGGAAATCCCTTTCCGAGTTATTAAGTTAAATTTCTCCTGTTCAGGAAATTCTTTAAGTGTTTCCCTAAAAGACTATTTGGGGAGGATTGAAGCAAGGTTGGACAAGCTTGAAGGCAAAAATCTTAAAAAATCAACAAACCGAATTTTTTAAGTTCCTCTTCGAGCCTTTTTAAAAGGGATGTTTTTGGTAAAGGAAATGTATTTTTTTCAGTTGATGCAATTAGGGATATATTACTCTTATCCAAGGCCAATTCGTTGATGAAGAAATGAGAATCATCTGGTAGGTTATGGAAAAAACAAGTAAACATGTGTTGCTCAGCAAAGCTGATATTACACTGCGAGTGAGCTGCCACTCTAAAAGTGAAAGGAAAGGAATGCATGTGTTCTCTAACTTTCACATCACTACTATAGTTCGGCCGCTTAGAAAACGACCTGCGCGCTAATGCTTAACCAATGCTGGAGGAGGTCGCTTTCTAAGCGGCCGAACTATAGCAAATGGCTTATTACAAATATGACAGGTTACGCTGCATTGAAAGCAGTTTCTTCAGCTGCACTAAGTTTAGGTAAAGTTTGTCGATTGTTATAGAGTTTACTACCAATGTAGAGAATATCAGCTTTTAGTGAATCTACAAAATGATTACCTACATTTGCACCTCTATACCTACGAATTATGTTTTTTTTTCAGTCATGTTGGGGGGTAAACTTGCCTAAAAATGTTCAAATGGACTGTATGTTGAAAGAGCAATATTAAAAACTTGTCACCAATTATTTAACAGATATAATGAGATTGATGAGGTACCTTCCTTTTAACTGAAGTGTTGAGAAGACGAAGCCGGTAGACGTACACGAGTTTCTTCTGCTGGCCAGCTATTGCGTATTGCTCGTACACAGACCCGGACCGGCAGTAGTAGTGTTTCACTTCACAAATGTTCAATAGTTCACTTTTAATATGTGTCAC